TATATGAGTTTAACAAAATTAAAAAATTGTATTTCATATTTTCTTATCGACATAATTTTTGTATAAAAAACAATATAAATATATGAATTTTAATATTTTACGTGACATGTATTCATAAATCACTTGTAGAACTTGATTATATCATTTAATTTTATTAAGCCAAAAAGTACAAAAAGAAGCATATCAATTAAATAATAAACAAACAATACATTCGCATTTTCTTTCACTCTTATGTTTTTTTCAAGTAGAAGAATAATTTTCAAAGCATGCCGTAATTATTAAGGAATTTGAATTACCATTTTGGTTTTTAAACGACAACTAAAATAACTGCATGCTTTTTGCTTCGAGACCTAAGCCCTAAATGATCCAATGCTAAACACGTAATTATGAAATATTAAAGAGATGTATAGAAGTTAATATATAGTACAATATTTATATATTTACATAATTCAATGCCAAAAAAAAAAATCATAAAACCTTAAGCAAGTTGATAAAAATTAGTACATAATGTAATATTAATTAGAAGTTAAGACATAAAGAAACAAACTTCTTCTTATTATTTTTTTCAGCTTTTGTATCAAGCCTTTCAAATTTTTAAATAAATAATTTGCTAAAGAAAAAGAAAAAGATAGAGGAAGACAATGAGATGCTACTGACGCAGTCCAACCCGTGTGGCCCATTCCAGTCTCTTTGCAGATCAGGCCCAAGTACCCTTGGACACTACTGGTCTCGGGTGGCCTTTTTTTTTTTTTTTTTCCTAATGGAGCAAAAGATTAAATGGCCACCTGTACCCAGTCTCATTAACAGCAACCGAAATTCTACAGCATGACTTCCATATATGGTAACGAGGAATTAAAGGAATCCATACTGTTCATTGAGATGGCCAACCTCTTAAAGGTAACAGCCCGAGAGAGTAGCTTTGAGAAACTCCTTAATTCTCTCAGCAGCTATGGTACGCAAAGACCAGGAAGTGGTGATTATATATTGATATATAGCAAAAGCTGAGTATGATGCTTGAAAATTCCAGGACCAATATCCATTTCAACACGAGGGGTTTGCAATTTCCAGGAAATCTTAAACATTTCTGTTAGGGGATTGGTGGGGGGAATAATATATTTGAATAGAATTGTTTATATATGTGCACAAGTGCACGAACTTTTCATGCAACTCAGCTCAATTCAAGTATATATTCAATGATTTTTCTTAATTAATTTTACCAAAAGTCAAAGAACATGACTTAAATATACATCGACACTAAAGGGGAATTGTACTGAACATTTGGATCACATAAAGGGGACTACTGGGGGATTTAAAACCAAATGAATGCTATATATACAAAATGTCGTTTCAGAGTACATATATTTATTTTGCTGTATTATGCTGGAAAAAACAAAAAGAAAAAGCACTGTCATGCTTGGAACTGTAGATCCAGCAGATGCACCCTGACTCGATCGACTTGGATTATGTTGTCCTTTCATCGCAATTCTAAACCTCTACTTTATTAGCCACTAGCTTCTGCAACTTATATAAGTATCATAGAGTATTGGAAGGTTCAGCATCATCAACCGCCAGCATGATCAAAACCAGCTCCAGTCCTGGAGGGCTTGATAGCCCTAAAGTATGAACTAGGGAAAACAGTACCAAATACCTTAATCCCATCGTCAGATTGTTGCTGATAAAACGTGATTTTATCACCAACATTGAGACCTTTAGCAAGAACAAAGTCTCGCCAACCCTTTTGTAGAACAGGTTTGGCAAAGCCTGTCTTCCGGAGGAACAAAAGTCCAGCTGCAGCCATTGTCATCCCTAACTCGCAACTCGAAGGCATTGCCTGCACTGAAACGAGGTAAGCAAGCTAGACACTTTGTTGGAATAGTCAATCTTTTGCATATGTCAGTGTGAGTTAGGGACTTTGAAAAGACTCTTTCCTTCATTACTGGAGACATATATGGTACTGATTACTGAACCTATTTTCTGACTTTGAATTGAACCAGGGCTCTCTGTCTATCCATCTATTTTATGAAGCAAGGATTTCTGTCCCTTATGACCAAGCCAAGATTAACAATCTTATTTAAGTTCATGTTTTCCTGAAAGGAGAAACGATCCAAAGTAAAGTCTCGACAAAATGTGAACATAAAACCGAGTATGGATGACTTAATGTCTTAATCTCACACAACGAAACAATCAAAAAGATGATAGCATTCAACGATTTTATTAATGCAAGGGTGCTGATCAGTGATGAGGATGATTCGTCTTCATGGAATGAAAACTAATCTCTGTGTTACTTGTGAGATTTAATTTAAGGAAATTGTGCCGCAGATTCTCCCAAAGAACGAATATTTTATTATAATGATGAAGATTGAGGATAAAGTTTAAGTGTGTGTGTGTGTGTGTGTGTGTGTGTGGGTGGGTATTTATATTAGTAATGGAGCGATACAACTTAAGAATGCAATCTTTGGAGTTGGTGTGTATAAGCAGCGGCTTCTGCTTCCTAACTAATTCATAATTAATTAGGACAAGCTGGTTTGCATTGCATTGAGCATTAGCCTAGGTCTTTGTGTTGCCCTTTTGTCATTAAAATTACATAATTTGATGGAGGAAAAATATGCAGTAGGTTATACATACCCAATGTTTAGATAGGATGGTAGGTAAACAATTAGTAAAAATGAAAGATAATGCTCCAAAGCATTTGGTTTAATTGGTTGATGCATATCCTTTTGCTCAAAGATTCGAGGTCTTCATTCTCAAATAAAAATAATTAAAATATTGACAAATCAATTACCCAAACTTTTAAATCAATTACGCAAACTTTTAAATGGGTATTATATTACATATATTTTGTAGAAATAGAGAGATGTGAAAGGGGATAGCTAGCCACTATGAATTTAGTATATATTATATTACTGTTACCAGCTAGTACTAGTTTCCATACAAATAGAAAATATTAGAACGGAAACCCACAGATAAGCACTGACTTTTACAGTGGAAAAATATTTAAAGCCATAAACCAGTAATCATAATCATAAACTACCCTTCTTTGAATGATATTGTAGCATATCATAAATGATGAGCAGTTCTAGGCGTAGGGGGGACTCATTGTTTTCTCACAATCTCGATACGATGGCGAGAATGAGGTAAAATGGAGCCATATATCTTGATTCCATCTTCAGCTTCTTCTGCTTCATAAAATGTTACCTTATCACCAACGTTAAGACATTTAGCTACAACAAAGTCTCGCCAACCCTGTTGAAAAACCGGTTTCTGATAAGCTCCAGTCTTGCGGATGGAGCAAACGAAAGTCCAGCACTTCCCATTCTCATCCGAATCAGCAATTCCAGGGAATGGCCTCCACAAAAACGTGGGAGAAATGCAAGACTCTTGGTTGGGATAGCTAACCTTTTCATGCTATCAGTGCCAGTTAACCGCTTTGAGAATAAGACCCTTCTCTTCTTTCCTTGGTTTTGTATGGCTTTTGAATCCATGATCAGTAGGTAGTAGCTGAATTATTTGCTGGAGCATCCTTTTGCTTGATCTCTCCCTTGGTTATTGTGCATATTTATGGCAGAGAGTGGGGTCGGCTAGAGAGAAGAAAAATTGGAGCCCCCTGCCCTTTTCTAGAAGCTGATCGTGGCCGAATCTTCCTCTCATTTAACCTATCCACACGTTCTCTTTGTTAGTATGAGAGAATTTTAACAATGAAGTAATATATACTAAGAGCACGTACTGCAACGGTTTAATTTTTTCATATTTTCGTACAACTTGAATTATTGAAATAAATATCAATTACATGTAAATGTAATAAGCATAATTTTAATTTTAAAAATTTTTAAAATTACAAATAAAATTGACAAAATCAATCTACTAATGTAATGATTTTAATTAAAATTTAATTAACATCATATGAAGATAAAAATTTTACAAATAAATCACTTAAGTAAGTATAAAAAAGAGATAAATTTAATTATAAAAAAATACATTAAAATAAACAAAAAATATAGAGTATAAAATTAATTAAAATCTCATATTATATATTAACTAACCAAATTGGACACAGAAATTATCCTTCTAGAAATAGCATTGGCATGGGTCATAAATCACTAGATTTGGCCTACATTTTGATCGATCCTTACTATAATTTTCTTTAATAATCAGTTTAAACAAATTTTAAGGTATAAGAAACAAGAATCTAACTTTTTAACACAAAGGGAAAAAAAAATCTAGCTTTTTTTGAATTGCCACTTTGTCTGTGACTGACATTTTGATATTCATAATTATACATTTCTGTCTCAATGCATCTAGACAACCTACTTAATTATAAATAACCTACCCTTGACCATGAGTCATCAGCAATATATTTATATATATATATATGTATATAGATATATATTTATTTACTTATAGGATCTTAAAAATACATATGTGGACATTAATATCAATTTAAAAACGAAACTAATAATTTTTTTATTTTTAAATTTTACAATTTATTTTGCTGATAAAATCTAATTAATAAAATTTTTGTCCAACTTAATATTCACTCGCATGACGATGCATTGTCACACATGTAATTATAAATGTGCAAAATTATAGACACAAATTTACAAATCATATAAAATTTAAGAATTTTTGTTTTTCGTTTTGTTTCAGTCATTTGACTCAGTTTTTCACAATTATTTCATTTTCACAGTAGCTGGAAATAAATCCAAAACAAGTTCAAGTAGAAGCATCAACCAACAGTTTGGACAGAAAGTATCATTAGAAAAACAGAATGAATGGATCTTCAACTGGAGATGGGAGGATATAGAGAAATGGCTATGAAATTGTTCTTTAAACTGCTTCAGATATGCGGCAAGTTTGGCTATGATTCTATGAACTTGAACTACGTGATGTCATGATTGTTTCTAACATTTAGATGTGAATGAATTCCTAGTATATTGAACATGTTCACACACAGGCATGAGCTCAAAAGCAAAAACCAGATATGCAAAGGGATAGAGAACTCACTAAATTAAATTTAAAATATTTGATGGAAAGAAATGGATAAATAATGGACCAATAAATGAGTCAGTAGGCATAACTGCTCCAGCATTCATCTGCATATGACAAATCAAAATGAGGTTTAAAATATAAGTTTTGAGGAATAAGGTAGAAGCTGCGTGAAAAGCTCAAAGGATCCCCACAACATTCTTAAAATCTTTTAGCATCCAATGCAGTGCTACAAAAATGATTTTAGAGTAAAAATACTAGTACTATTTTCACTAAAAGGTTTAGAACCATTATTTTATTGTTGAGTGGCAAAAGAGAATTTACCTGGAATATAACTTGGAAGAGATAACTAGAAATGCCTGCAGTTTGTGAAACATTGCATCTTTCCTGGGGATTTAAGGCTTATCTACGAACATTTGTACCATTTCTGTTAGTTAAAGGCATGTAGTATCCTTGCTCTGAATCTATCCTAACATTATCCACATCAAAATCACAGCTGCTCATTTTTTTATGCTGGTAACACCCGTAAATAGAGAGCAACGTTCCAAACTGCAAAAATGAGTTGGAAATCATACTGCATACAGTTATCTGGATACTGACAGTTTTTTGCAGAAGCAGAAACATTGCAACAAAGAATGGGAAGAATATAATTAGAAGACATACCCCAAAATAAATGGTAACCAAAGTAAAAGTCCACCTGTCCAGCACCAAAAGACATCATAACTTAAAAGTTAGAATGTTTTGGAAAATACCTGTCCGAAATAATTAGGAAGCTTGACATACAAGGCAAAATACGCTCTGATTTCAGTTTCGGAAGATCAGATAGATGAACAATATACATTGGTTTTAAGTTCAAAATCAATTTTGTACCGTTTGGGGATTAGGTGACTCTATACTCTCATACAGCCTTTGGCAGTTTGGTTGATATTTAGCAGCTTTTGCAGCTCTTTGGAAAAGTAATAAACTTTCCTTGTACAAAAAAAGAAGCTCACGACCAATTTAAAAAACGACAGTCATTGCATTTACTTAAAATGCCATGATTCAAATATAAAGATGGAAGCAGTTTAAATAAGAATTAGTAACTTAGTCCAAGGCAAGTTCGGATAGGGAAGATTGCTTACGGAGTATAATAGTAATAAATGCAACCATCATTAACAACAACTTTGATTTTAACTGTTGCCAAAGCCAAACAAAACGCAACAACTCGATAACCCAACAGCCAAAGAGGATGGATTTTTTGAAGACAAGGCCTCCAAACATCATCATCATATAACTCATCACAACCTAAATCTTCCTGCCTTTCTCTTCCATCACATTTCACTTGTTTCAATCCTTCATATTTCCATATTAAAAACAATGCCATAACAATTGGAGTCAAAACAATAATTGAACAAAGCAAGACTCTCCAATTGAACCAGTAACTCAAGGTCGTTGTATCTGCAGTCACCGAATCCTGCTAAAAGCAAATTACCCATTATAATTCTTGACACCCTTTTTATTTGTTTTTAAAAAAACTATCTTTTTTTTATTAACTATTAATCAACTGCTTGGTTCATATTTGATATGTTCAAATTCAGATTTTTCCATACACAAATTTCCATTTTTTTATCTGATTGCAGTGCTAAATATTCATTAATTACATCAAAAACCGAAAAGGGTATTTGAAATTAATAAGCAATCCATGAAAAATAAAGTAATCCTGAAGATTCAAAATTTTGGATGATATTAATAACAACAACATGATACAAATATAATCCATAGAAGAAAAAGCTTTATGACAGATTCCAACTAGTGAAAAGATAGATTACTTACAGAATATATAATGATTTCCAGGGGAAGAAATGAGAAACAGAGGCCTTTCGGTAGCTTGGATATGAGGAAATGGATAATTCAATTATTTGATTTTTTTTTTGTATTTTATTGATTTTAAGCATTTTAATTCCTTATTGTGGAACCGCGAGATATAAATTTGGATCCATATGATGTGATGACGTGGCGGCATTTGCTTACAATTTTATGTGCTTTGAACACGTGAGCTAACGAGGAAAATTTGTTGGCCCCTAAGTTGATGTTGGTTACAGCCTTACAGGGCAGGAGAGCCCATGTAACTATTTGACTTGGTTCATGGCGGTAGCCTTTTTTGCTACGTCGCCAAATAAACACTTAACTTTGTGTATTGACTGATAGTTTTCTCTTGATCATTTTGATGTGTGGCTTTTGTTTTCTCGCCCTTTTATTATATTGCAATGATACAGGTGGACACAGGACATGTACATTTCTAGGGCTTTAGTGTTCTTCCCATGCTAATGCTTTTGCTGTAGCCTGAAATCCTTATCCCGCTGCCAAGAGTGGTCCATGCTTTTTCATCCACTTCCTGCTTTTTACATTCCTTGCTGAGGTTGCCAATACTTCTCAAAGCGGTGGTATAATCCTGACTGCTGAGGCCAATGCAGTTTACTTGGATTCCAGGCTTTGCTGAATTTATGTGATGATAATGTTTTCATGCCAGAATTTCCAACTTTTATGCTACCATTACGTTTGGTTGCCTAGGAAAAACCAGAGATGAAAGCATATTGAAGTTTATCGAGCAATAATTTCAGTACTTGGTTTGCAGTAGTAGCCTACCATTCAAGAGCAGGTTTTCAATTGAAGTAAAAGAATCTGCTATTGGTCTTTCTTTTGTGCAAAGCTGGCAGATATTGCTTAATTTCAGTAAAACATGATACGAAACTGATTCGTATTACAGCAATACAGTAGTTTCATGGCACTTTTTTTTTAAGAACTATGCTTAAAGTTATCGCTTTTAATGTAAGCAAGGATTTAAATAGCGGTCGTGGTCACGTTTTCGATCACGTCATATTTATTGTGTTTTTAGATATAATGAAAATCATTACGATCACTGTACGCATCGCGGTCGTGAATTTTTTTTTTTGCACAATTTATATAAAATATAATAATTATAATTATAATTATAAAAACTCTTATTCAATGATTTTAAAAATAGTTTATGACACTATATCTTTTATTTTTTAAAAAAATTATTTATAATTTTATTTAGATTATAAAAAGCATTAATATTTGATTTATTCACAAAAAAAATTATTAAATTTTATATAAAAATTATAAATTAATATATAACACAATCAAAATATAATATTTAATTTTAATTAATTTTTGTCTAACTTATTCAAAAAAATTTATCAAAAATTTTCATCTAAAATCTCTATATATATTATATTAAATTATTAATCCCTTAATTTTTTTAATTATAAACCTTCAATCTCTCTAATTATATTTTATCTAAAAAAATTTCAAAAATTAAAAAATTTCAAACTTATATTTTAATAAAATTTTCAAACCTATACTTTTTATTTTTTAGTTTTTAATCTTAGTAAGAGTAATAGATCATAAAATGCTAAATTTATTAAATAACTTAATCTTTTTGATACACTAATTGATATAAATTTTTTTGTCACAAATAACTTTCAATAATTATATAATAAATACAATATTCAATAATTACACAAAAATAACAAGAATTAATCTCATATCAAAAAAATTGACAACAATAAAATATCAAAACAAAAAAAAAAAAAAATTCAGATTCAAAATTATAAATTAATATATAACATAATCAAAATATAATATTTAATTTTAATTATTTTTCATCTAACTTATACAAAAAATTTATCAAAATTTTTCATCTAAAATCTCTCTATATATTATATTAAATTATTAATCTCTTATTTTTTTAATTATAAATTTTTAAAAACTCTAATTAAATTTTATCTAAAAAAATTTCAAAAATTAATTACAAAATTAAATAAAAAATTCAACTCCCACTCCCCCCCCCCCCCCCCCCCCCCACACACACACACACCTCACCACACCACTATTTCGTTTTTAAACCGCTATTTGAATCATTTTGTAAGCAATTCACTCATGTATGCAACTCTTTACACAATACTCGATCGCCACAATAGGCTAGCCTTGAACTACAACATAAAAGTCTTCTGCTACATATTCCCGATCTGCCTGATCATAAAGGCGATGGGATGAATCTAAGTCGAAATTCATTAAGGAGGGAATTAAGTGTTTTGAAATAGCAAGGGCTTACAATCTTTATCAGGGCCTAGAGCAGAAAAAAACCAGTAAATTATACTCATATTTTGCATTCTGAAGGCTGCAGCAGATGTCTCTGAAGTTTCTGATCACTTTATTAAATTTATAACTAGGAAGAAGTTCATTCATGGGGCTTTTGATGATCTTGTTGCTCTTTGAATCAATGCCACTGCTTTCTTCTTCTGAAAGTAGCCATCCTTTGAGTGGAAATATCTGAATAGGATATAAAAATACATCAATAAGAGAAACAGCCTCTCACTTAAGTTTAAGCCAAATTAAAAAGGAAAACTTAATTGGGAATTCATTTCCTTTATAAGAAGGGTATAATATCTTGAAGAATCCATTAGTTGTTGAACTTTTCAAAATCACTTTGGTTTTCCCAAACTGATCATCAGCATGCAAAGTTTTGTTGCCCTTACAGCTGAACTGCCTTGGAGATAGAGCCTGGAAATAGGCTTGAAAGAAGGCCTTCTTCTCTTTAAGCAACTCTTTCCAAACTGCAAAGGCACCAGCTTAAGCATGTCAAAACACTAATAACACATATACATGCAGGCGCTGAAAAGAGTAAAGAGAACTTTTTACCTGTTAGGGTGATGGTTGGTTCAATCTTGGCATGCTTAGCAAGTGCTTTGACACAGTCATCTCTGCTCATGTGAAACACAAGGCATCTCTCTATCATATGTTGAACCTACAAAACAAATCGCCCCAAAGCATTAAACATTAAGTTTTTGATGTTTTTCACAATGATTTCAAAAACCCTCTTAAATGGTCACAAACAATGCTAATACAAAGCAAAAGATTCTAAGTATCCCAAGATACTAATCTGGTGTTTTACCATTCCATTGTAGTCATGTGGCTGGCAATGCAAACAAGGGAATTGATGTTTTTGGCACATTTTGAGAAAAGGAGAGAGAGGTGAGTGCAAAAAGTGCAGGGCTGTTTGACATATGTGTTAGATATTTAGATTTTTTTTTAGTAAGGAAAAGCATAATAAGAATAAAATGAAAGGGGAAGAGAGAAACTGAGAAAAGGGCTGTTATCCACAAATATCCAAGTGAAGGGCCAAAAAGAGCATGAGAAATCCTAAGGCTTATGCTCACCTCATCTTCAAGTGATGAGACTTCACCGTCTTCCAATTGCAGAAACAATATTTTTTCTGAGATGGGAAATGTTTTGATGTGGACCTCTCTGCAAACTTCCATAACTCTTTCGATATCTATCCCATCACCTACAGCTTAAATTTAATCTAGTTGGGCTTGATGGGTGATGAAGCTTCTGATCCTAGAAACTTACAGCAGGGTCCATATCTAGTTGGGCCACAACAGATTAGAATGAAATGATGGAGCCTCTCTATCATAGTTTGGCCCACAAATAGCAGCCCATGAAAACCACACAAAGTCCAATAACCATCTGGAAAACCCTGCTTGGCTAACACGCGAAGTTGAAAAAGCCCCGGGGTTTTGCTGCTTTCATTCTCTTTTCCTTTCTTCTTCAGCTTTATTGGTAAAACTGAAAACTTCCTTCTACAGCTTTTCTCTCCAAAAAATTTGCTATCTAATCAAAATTAAATCTTGGGTAAGTCTTTTTTCTCAACATTTTACCTTAAATATTCGTGAAATAATTGATAGTATTTTCTTTTCCTATACATGCTTTGAATGTATATGTATTTTCATGAATTTGGGTCTTTCTGGTGTTTTATGTTATAGTTTATTCTTAATGGAACTTTGGGTATGCGGTAATAGTTGAATTTACTTTTTCTTTTGGGGAGTAAATTTTGGTACTTTGATTACTTAATAGACCAAAATTTTCTCAGTAATTCATGGAAGAAGAAAAAGAGAGAAATTTCTGAAACATATATTGAAGCTTTTTGCAATTTTCTGATAACATAATAAATAGTAACTTACATTGAACGTATTTTCTGACTTGTGACAGACAGGTAATTGCTTTTTTTGGTTCTGCATAAAATTTAGTATTTTGAGGATGTTGCTTTTGGATCCCTCAAAGAAGATGTCATTTAACCGGTGCATTAGAGATGGAGACTTAGTTATTGTCTATGAGAGGCATGATACTATGAAGGCTGTTAAAGTGTGTGAGAATTCGGTTCTTCAAAATCGTTTTGGTGTGTTTAAACATTCGGATTGGATTGGGAAGCCATTTGGTTCCAAAGTGTTTAGCAACAAGGGTGGATTTGTTTACCTATTGGCTCCAACGCCGGAGCTATGGACTTTGGTTCTAAGTCACAGGACTCAGATTCTCTATATTGCAGATATTAGCTTTGTGATTATGTACTTGGAAATAGTTCCTGGTTGTTTGGTTCTTGAATCAGGGACCGGAAGTGGATCTTTAACAACCTCACTTGCAAGGGCTGTGGCTCCTACTGGACATGTTTATACATTTGATTTCCATGAACAGAGGGCTGTGTCAGCTAGGTAAGAAGATGTTTTTCTTTTGTGAGAGTGCATTGTAATATTATTTTATCATTCTGATGAAATTTCAGTTTCAAAGCTTGAGTTATGAAATATGATTTGATAATTGTTAAGGTTGAGTTAGAGTTCTAGTTTGATTTCTGAATCTATTTGGGCTGATGTATTTTCAGATTCTGCATCTGTAGCTGCAATGTTTCAGAGTCTCAAAATCATCTCATTTTATGGATCTTTTCTTTTCTTCTTTTGAGCATGTTTAGTCCCATTTTATGGTTTCTGCTTGTCTAACTCACTGTAGAAAGATGTGAAGATGATCCTTTATTCCTTTTATTCTTT